GGGGGGGGTGTCATTGTACTGAGCCAAAAGTAACAGCCCTGTCATCAGGGGAAACAGAACTCCACGATTGAATTAGCGATGAATAAACAGGACCCTATAGGGGGCAAATAGTGTATGGGAGACTGACACTGCCATACAGTCAAGAGAAGCTGGCGGATGCAGACATCTTTTTGTTATGTACAAATTTTGCTTGTGTTTTAACTACAAAGATTATAAACGTATAAGAAAAAAATTAGAGACATGAAAATCTGTTTGCTGAGTGCCTGCTAGACTGTATATATTACATCTTTTTAGTTCTGTGTGATTGTGTTATCCACCAGTTGTCAGCCGCGTTTACGTTACTTGAATCTCATCTATTTACAACTCATCTCTCAAAACTTACTTTTGGAGTTTATCCGAGTGTTTGGAGAAATCAGACAGGCCAGACAATGAAGTTGAGTTCTTGAGCTCTTGAGACTTCTTCCTGGAGACTAGCGTGAACTCCTGGTCCCCCCTTTCTTTGGCATGACCGCTGTCTGCAGATAAATTCTGACCCTGGGACGCCCATACGCTACTGGACTTCGGTTCATCCATCAGACTACGGCCAGGGTTGAACTCTGTTGCAGCCGGATTCAAACCTGAACCACCTGCGCTGGACACGAGAGAGTTTTCAAGCAGCCGTTGAGTCTTTGGGTGGGCGTCGGCTATGAAGCCACCAGCATTATCATCCACAGGGTTGACCTCTACGGCCTCACTGAGATGAGGAAACCCAATCGCTGACACAGCCCTCACAGCGGCGGCTGGGTTCAACGGCGGCTTAACCTGCCCATTTTGACCAGCACTACTCATCTCCTCCTCCGCAGCAAGTCGCTGTAAGTCCATCTCCTTGGCCCGCTGCTCCCAAGAAAATGGCTTGGAAGCCGGAACAGTTGCCCCTGCTACTGCAGCCGTCTTCCTCCCCAGCAGTTCCCTGGCCCGAGAGCTGTCCTCCACATTGCACACGACCCTATCCTCCAGCACGAAGAAAGAGCCGCGGGAGCGCAGGAAGTTGGCCAGACCACCATACCAGAAGATCTTGTGCTGGTCATCCAGGGATATGTCGGCCAAAGCCTCGGAAATCTCGGGCCCCTCCAGCTCCACTGGGCCAGAGCTATGTAGGAGGTCCTGGAAAAACC